TTTACCAAATATTTACTCTTTCCTTTCTTCCTGTGAATTGTCTTCCTTCCCTTTGAAGTCCTACTCCTCCTTAGTTCAGGATGACATATATACCTCATTTGGGGGCACCTATCTAGCTCAGTCTACAGAGCATGTAACTCTGGATCTCAGGGTTATGAGTTCAAACCTCACATTGGACATAGAGCTAACTTAAAACAAAACAAAATAGCATATGTACTTTTCCTGATTTGTCTTTGGAATCTCATGTTTGTTTGTTTTTAATGTTTAATGAGAAAGAGAGAGAGAGCGTGCGTCACTACACGCGCACACATGCAAGCAGGGAGGGGCAGAGAGTGAGAGGAGAGAGAATCCCAAGCAGGCTCCACCCTGTGAGCACAGATCCCATGCAGGGCTCAATCCTACGAACCACGAGATTGATGAGGTTTGGGGGTGATGGTGGGGGGGGGGGCGGGGGTCCAGAGCTGACCACCATGAAAGAATTCTTGAAGATGTCTTTGGTGCAAAAAAGGTGATTCTATCAGAACACAGGGACAGGACCCTTTGGCAGGAAGAGCTGCACCGGCTCACTGTGTACTATTAACTTGGGGGAGGTAAAGTCAAAAGGGAGGCCTCCAGAGGGACTTTGATATGTGAAAGAGGACTCCTAAAATACCTGAGACCTTGATATTGTCAAGCTAAGGTTCCCCCCCCCCGCCCCGCCCCGCCTCAAGTAAGGCATTAACATTAGGATAGTAGGGGGTGCCTGGAGAAATGTTATACTCCGTATTTGTCTCAAGTATTTGTCATGGTTTCAGATTATAAGAAAATTTAATTTTACCTGCCTTTCCTTCCTTCCTTCCTTCCTTGCTAGCTTGTGCTTTGCCCCCAGCCTACCTAGCACCTCCCCCCCACCCCCCCACCCCCAGGTGGGATCTGTGTGACATTCCTCAGGTACTCCTGGCTGCCCAAGAACAAAGGAAAGGACAGAAACAAATGGCTTACTGATAGGGATCAGAGTCCTGCAGGACAAGAGTCTCCATCAGTTTACAAATATCTTAGTAAATTACAAGACTAAGGCAATCTTATCAATAGCCTAATCTCCAGAAACCTGAAGACTCAGTTTTCTTGGAGCCCCAACATCACCCCTCCATGGTGATATGGGGAACAAAGGCAAGAAGAAAACGGCAGGTAAAATTGAATTTCCTTATAACCTGCAGCCCGTTGACAAATACTTGAGGCAGGCAGAGTAAAGCCTTCTCCGGGAACTCCCTACTGTCTTAATGTTAATGCTTTGCTAAAGGGAAAAACAACCTTCCCTTGACAATAAATAGCTAGGCCTCCAGTAATCTGTGATTTCTTGGAAACTTCCCTTTTGACTTTATCTCTCCCAAATCCAAGGTATATAATCAGTTACCTGTCACAACCCTAGTGCAGCTCTTCCTGCCGATAGGTCCTCTCCCCCTGTTTAATAAAATCACCTTTTTTTTTTTTTAACGTTTATTTATTTTTTAGAGACAGAGAGAAACAAAGCATGGCCAGAGAGGACCAGAGAGAGAGGGAGACACAGAATCTGAGCAGGCTCCAGGCTCTGAGCTGTCAGCACAGAGCCCAACGTGAGGCTCGAACCCATAAATGGTGAGATCATGACCAGAGTCTAAGTCAGATGCTTAACCAACTAAGCCACTCAGGTGCCCCCCTATAATCACCTTTTTGCACAAAAGACATCAAGAATTCTTTCTTGGCTGTTGGCTCTGAACCCCACAAACCCCACCATCACCACAAAGCTTCATCAGTCAAGATCATGACCTGGGCTGAAACCAAGAATCAGACGCTTAACCAACTGAGCCACCCAGGTGCTCCTGGAATCTCATGTTTATTTGGATTCCCTTTATATACAAAATGAAATTTGACTTTCCTCTGTTAATCTGTCTCTTGTTAATCTTATTTCAGACCAGTCAGAAGACCTTGAAGTGCAAAGGAAAGTTTTTCTTCCCCAGCAGTTTCACAAACTATAAAGTACCAGCCTAATATGAAGTATTGTTACCCACTTGCTTGGGGTTCATGCTTAGACACTGGGAAATTTCTTCTCAATTTTGTCTCTAAACTAAGTCAATCTTTCCATTAAGAAAAGAAACCCAAGCTGTGGACATAAAAACTAGGCTATGTTTGCTGGGCAATGCCTAAAATGCTCCATTTAAAATATATTAAATTTTGGACGAAAGGATTTATCACACAAACTAGGGCATAATCCCCTCTTGTTATGATTTCCCATCACTAAATTTACTTAATCCTGATATATATACACACCATTTCCTGAGAAACACTGGTATACTAGGAAACTGAATTTTAAGGTGGAAAGGACTTTTTTTGGTAATTTTTTAAAGTTTATTTATTTTGAGAGAGAGTAAGAGCTAGCAAGGAATGGGCAGAGAATGAAGGAGAGAAAAAATCCCCAGCTGGCTCTGGGCAGCACAGAGCCCGATACAGGGCTCGAACCCACAAACTATGAGATCATGACCTGAGGTAGAGTCAGACACTTAACCTACTGAGCCACCCAGGCGCCCTAAAGCTGAAAAGGACTTTAAAGGGTCGCCTGGGTGGCTCAGTCGGTTAAGTGTCCGACTTTAGCTCAGGTCATGATCTCATGGTTCGTGTGTTTGAGTCCCACATTGGGCTCTGTGCTGACAGCTCAGAGCCTGCTTCAGATTCTGTATCTCCGTCTCTCTCTCTCTCAGAAATAAATAAGACATTAAAAAAAAAAAAAGGACTTTGAAGATCATTTAATGAGAGCTTGTTTTACAGATGAAATATCTGAAGTCTTCGGGGTGGAACACCCTTCAAAGCTACAGAGACAGGGCCAGTGCCAAGATTAATCCCCAAGTCTCCCACTCCCAACCCAAAGTTCTTGCCTGTGCACTAAACCTCTGGTTTAGTTTGTATCAAGGTGTATCTGTAATTTTGATCCCAACAGTTTTAGGCAAAAACAAGATGCTTTTCTTAGTGCCAGTCTTTTTCACAAAGTAAGTTTAACTGTTGATCAGGGCTTTAAATTTAAGTTACCAATTTTACAAATGAAGAGAGTTAGGAAGAAATAGTCAACGTTTAGGAGAAAAGGTAGCATAAACCAACCCAAAATAGTTAAACATTTTATTAAATCTTCCTTTCATTATAGATAAGCACATAAATCGCCTCGCTGATAATACGGTATTTTCATATAAACTCACAAAGATGAAATCTTTATGAAAATTGTCCTCAAGTATAAAGTGACACTTTTTTCTATGGTAAACAGGACACATATTTAAGTATTAAAAAGGTTTAGAGAAGAACCTTGGCTCAGTAACGCGGCATTGCTAGAAGAGGTTGTGATTGCCAAGGAGGAGGAATCTCTACTCTTGGGTCCATTTATTCGATGTCAGTTGTCACAGCCGGGGCTTCATGAAGAAAAGACGACCAGCAGAGAGTACATCCATACCCTATGAAGTCTAATATACAAGAGAATATTACCAAGGGCTGTTACTACCCAGTTTCTCCCCTGTTGTTGTTATGTCAACCACAGACTTGGGGAAAGTGATTTTCCACTTCTGTTTATCATTTCGTTTTTGCTGAGTAATTCAGTCAACTGAGGTAACCGCCCCCCCCATAGTGTTCATTCTCATTTAATTAGAGGAAGGAAATCTAAACAATTCACACCATCTCAAGTGTGTTTTCCAAAATGCCTCAAAACGCTGGACACTAACCCCTTTCGGCGGAAACCCCAGTGAATAAAAGAAAGACACCTTGGAGCACCGCTGCCCTCGCCAGCGCCCAATCCCGGGAGCAGCGCCCTCGGGGAGGCAGCGTGGAAGGGCCCCTCGGGGAGTCGAGCCTTCCCGGGCCAGCTGACGGGTGGTGTCCGGAGCCGGAGGCGGCTCCGCCTGGCCCCGGGGCCCCAGCCGCCGCAGCGCAGCGGGCCAGGCCCGCGGGTCGCGCGCGCCGGGGTCAGGTCGAGGACGCGGGCGGGGCCGGGAGGCGGAAGGGCCGGCCTGGGGCGTGTCCACGTGACTGCCCCGCCCGCCGCCTGCCGCCCGCCGCCCGCCGTCCGCAGCCCCCCAGCCACCGCCGCCGCCTCCGCCTCTCCGGCTGCAGCTCCCGGCGTGCCCCGCACTCGCCGCTGCCCGCCCGCCCCTCCCTCTCCTCCTCCCAGTGCCACAGAGCCGGAGCCCGAGCCGCCGCCGCAGCCACTGCCGCGGACACTATGGTAAGGTGGGCGCGCCGGCCCGGGGGACCGGGAGCCGGGGCGCGTCAAGCAAAAACCGTGGCGCGGCCTTGCAGGACCCCGGGAGTGAGGCCGCCATTTTAACCTGATTTGGGCCTTAAAGGTGGGGGCTCCTGCGCTGCGTCCGGCCCCGCTGCTCTCTCTCCAGCCAGGCGGCCGGCCTACCCGCCCTCTCTCAGGCCAGGCCCTGCGGCTTTTCGGACTCGGGCGGGGGTCGGGGGGTCGGGGCCTAAGCCGGACAGGCGCCTTCTGGAGAGGTCGGGGTACTGGGAGCGGCGGCCGGCGGCGCGGGGCTCGTCCCGCGCACGGCGTGTTTGCGCGGGGCTTCCTTGTTTTACTGAGCACTAGTCTCTCAAATTGGTACGTGCTTCAGAGCCCTTGCTGAAGACTTTCGGTTAAGGGTCTCGGTGGCCTGTAATTAAACCCCTAAGAGGAGTTCAAGGGGGGTGAGAAAACGCTTTTAAAAATGCTTTCTCGCCGTAAAAAGCTTTTACACTAGCTCCGTTAGTTTTGAAGCGTCTGCGTTTGAGCTGTGAGGCAATTATGTTGTAGCCGTGGGCGGATTGGCGTTCACACTTGATTCTCTTTCCTTATGAGGAAACGGCACTGGCTGGGATGACTTTAAAGAAAAAAAAATAGTAGAAGCTTTAACTGAAATCCAAAAGTGTTTTTTTAAGGCCTGCGGAGTTGACACAATACAGAAGGTATTTTTGCTGCTGCTCCTGGAGCTCTGACATCACCCAGTGAAATAGGAAACATTTCAGGGATGGGACAGCTTGTATTTGTCCCTTTCCCTCTACCTTCCCTTTACTTCAACCTCTTTTACGAGGATGAATGGGACAGGGTGAGTTAGACTCCTTCGGGTGCGTCTCCTGTACTGATACTTAAAATGTGGCAGATCGGACTGGACAACTTCCACGGTACGATGCAATTTTTGATGTCCGGATTAAAGTGAATCCTCTCTAGGCAAACAGTAATTTTGGTTAAAACCAAACTACTCTCTCTGAATTACTGTTCTTTTTTTATTTCAGGCTTCTGGAGTTACAGTGAATGATGAAGTCATCAAAGTTTTTAATGATATGAAAGTAAGAAAATCTTCTACGCAAGAGGAGATCAAAAAAAGAAAGAAAGCAGTTCTCTTCTGTCTAAGCGATGACAAAAGACAAATAATTGTAGAGGAAGCAAAGCAGATCTTGGTGGGTGACATTGGTGATACTGTAGAGGACCCCTACACATCTTTTGTGAAGTTGCTACCTCTGAATGATTGCCGATATGCTTTGTACGATGCCACATACGAAACAAAAGAGTCTAAGAAAGAAGACCTAGTATTTATTTTCTGGTGTGTAAAAACAAAAGAAAAAGTACTTTTAAAATGCAAGGATTGTTATTAACATAGTCAGTTTTGCCTTTGTTATTCTTTTAAGTAGGATTCAGCGATTATCTTTTTTTTTTTTCTGTAGGGCTCCTGAGAGTGCACCTTTAAAAAGCAAGATGATTTATGCTAGCTCTAAAGATGCCATTAAAAAGAAATTTACAGGTACAAACATTAAAAATTTTGTGCAAATAAATTACTCTTTCTTAATTATAAGAAGACTTAATTAAATCATGTTTTTCGTTTTTAGGTATTAAACATGAGTGGCAGGTAAATGGCTTGGATGATATAAAGGACCGTTCAACACTTGGAGAGAAACTGGGAGGCAACGTAGTAGTTTCACTTGAAGGAAAACCCTTATAAAATGACAGTCAAGTGCCATCTGGATCTTAAGGAGCTTCCATTTCTCCAGCTCAATCAATTGAAATAGTATTAGGTGGTTTTTGTTTTTGGTTTTTTTGTTTTTTCTCTTCCCACTGGGTCCTTCCAATACAGTGAATGAAGGAAATACCATTCATGTAAGCAGCCTATCAGTGATTGCCATTAGACTGTTTAATATGGTTACTTTTATGTAGAACCCAAGGAATGCCTTCCCGTCATATTTTAGCCAAAACTGGTTATATGCCTCCCTTGCAGCGAGCACTACAATGAAAGTGATTGTCAATGTGAATAGCTTAGAACACTGCAAAGGGTAAGCTGATCGAATGCCTTGAAAGTATTATCCACTGGTCAGATGATAAACTTTATTCAGTATTATTTATAGTCGCACTTGATTGCAGTTCTGTGAGGCTCGAGCATTCATACACCTCACCTGCCTTGGCAAGCCTATTTTGTGACATGGCAGCACAGATATAACACTATGCATTGAAAGCACTTTTTTTGTAATGAGTTTAACCCACCCATCTCTCCCCCAAAAGGAATGCCAATTAAGTTTTGTTAACTGTGTCATCAACTTATCCTAGTACCTCAGTATTCATTCCTGTTAACCTGCATATCTTAAAAGAAACAGTTGTTATTAATGCCTTTTTGTCTTCCATTGAGTGTACACTACTGAAGACGTGTAGGAGTTTATGTTTACCATGTAAGTTTGCAACACTAAAAATATTTTGAATATCAGTCATGATGGCAATTTCTGTATAAAAGAGCCTTAAATGGAACATTGTTTTGAGATCAAACTCCCTACCCTCACAAAAATGGCCACGTTGCAATAAAAATGGTGGCATATTACAGAACGTTGCCTTGTTTTCCTTGGACATTTTGCAAAATGTTATGTGAAGCAACTTTTAGAGTGAATAGCTATTAATCTTTGCACTGGTCATTTAAGAATTTTTTTGTACAACGTTCATGCATGATATTTTCTGGTTTGTTGAGTTTAAAAAAATCCTAAAGCCAACTAATAGAAAATATTGTTATAGAGGGATACTTTTATAAACATTAGTTTATTTATTTCCTTATGTGTTAGTATGAAGACCAGAAGTTACTTTTTGCACTTTGACATAAATATTCTTCAATACCAGATTTGTTTTCTGGATAAAGGGTGGGTAGTTTTTAATTCACGTTTACATTTCTAAGTAATTGAGTAGTACAAGCAGGAAGCTCTTAACTGCGTATTTGGTCATGATGAAAATAGTTTATAAAATGTCCTTCAAAAGTTAATACTACTTCTCATGTTTAGGAACTTTTCATTTCAGCTATTATTTCTTAATATAGTTTGCAAATTGAAAAAAAAATGATGTAGCAATCTTAAGTATTAGTAGTTGAGATTTGGCTGTGGTCCAAACTGCTCTCCTTATAGAGAATTTGATCTGCTCAGTGTGAGCAGTTTGCTGTTAGCCAGAGCTATTTATGGCAAACACATGCTTTTGTATCTTGTCATAGTTATCCACAAATGGCAAAACTGGACTTGATTCTACTGGTATGCAAAACAGGCATGCTAGTAAGCAGTCAATCATGGCTTAGAACTTAACCCCATAGCTCTGAAGAATGGTCTTATCAGAAAACAGGAAGCAGAAATTCTCTTTTTTTTAATATGTGGAAGTCACTTAAGTACAATTTATATTTTCCCGTATTTTCAGAAGATTTTTAAAGGTGAAAACAAAAATAGGACTTAAATGTTTAGGCTTCCATTTAAAATTATATGAATGGCTTAGGATCTTTTGCACTGAGCCATCTTATTTCAGGCTAACAGCTGTCCCTTTGAGTTATTCTGGACCTTTTGATGGCCTTTTGGTAAGGCTAAACTCATAAGGAAAGTATGAGAATACTGACATATACTAAACCATATGTGTAACTGGTTCTTAGACCGTGGAATTTTTCATTATTTTCCTCATTCTAAAAAAATAAGGGACTCTAAATAAGTTATGTAGTATCTTTTGTTTTTATAGCTGATTAATCAGCTTTTCTTATGTCTCCTATAGTAATAATTTCAGAGATTATTGCTTTAAACTGTGGTACTTTGATTTGTTAGACTGACAGAACTGAGTTCATCTTTGAAATACATCTTTGTGCTTAGAGCCAAAAATAACGATAAAATTAATGTTTCACATGTTACTTGAGACTAATTTGGCATTTGAAACGATCATTTTATTTTACAATCATTTACAATGAAACAATGTTCCAGTTAGCTTTTAAAGGTATACGGTGCTAATTAGTAAAATATTGAGGGCAATATTTTACTGCTAGCTTGCAAAATTTTAAGTGTTTAAAAAAATAAAATGTATGAAAATATATAAAGCTGTTGAGATGTGTTTACTTATACTTCAGAACACTAAAATTTTAAAAACTAATGTTGCAGATCAAATAAGCACCTTTATCTTTAGTCTTTTTTTTTAGGGTTTTAGTTGATATGCTTTCTCATTTGCAGATACCAGTATTCTTTGAAAACATAATATAAGCAATTTTAACATTTTCAGACAAATTGGAACAGTTGGCATTTGTCCCAAACTGGCTATCGTCAGCTGTTGTTTTCAATCATTATCTAAAATAATGTGGCTTTTAGTAGATTGAAATAAAAGCCTCTTATTATGTTTGAGTTTTTCAGATATAGATCCTTTGTAGCAGCTAATTTATAGAATCTAGCAAGTGAGTTTTGGGAGAAAATTAAGTACTTATTAAGGAATAATCTCAGCAGTGCTCAATCATAGAAGGGTTCAGAACACCCTTCATTAGGTTTTCCACTCTGAGAAAATAATCTGGTTCTGATCTCATAGGCCCTATTATTGCTTGCATATTTAATAATAGTTTGAGATCTAAACAAACGTGAATATTTTTCTATGAATACTAAAACAATTAGAGATGTGTAGGCAGGCTCCAATAAATATTGCTTTTCAGACCATTTGAATTTATAAATGTTCTGTCTCATCTCAGCTAATAAAGAAATCTGAGGCTTTTCTTTTGCTCTTAGAATATCCAAATTGCTTTTTTCCTTGTAGAATTGTGGAGTCATCCATCCACTTCAATTTCCTATAATAAAGCAATTGGGCACATTAATCTTTCTGAGCCTCAGTTTCTTAACCATGACATGAAGATGATTATCTTACCTCATTGTAGAGGATCAAATATGGAAATGTTTTTGGAAAATACTATGTAAACATAGTAATTTGTTTAAACCATTCTAAATAAGTGTAGTTAAATAGATAAAGAATGCTAAAAATAAGATTTATTGTAAGTCTTTGAACCTCTTCAGTTTTGTAACTATTCCACTTAATCTCCTAGTTTAAGGATTAATTAGCTGATATGTGGCATCTATTTTTCAGTAGTAAAGTGTAGCCTCTGAAATGATGTTTGTTGACTGCTATTAATCTTTTTAGTGTAGTTTTCTTTTTCACACGTAACCAATCAGTTACTAATTTTTTCCCCTAAATAATTTTGAAGTAAAAAATAAGAGAGGAAGTAAAGTTAGAAATACCGGTTTGGAATACTTGTCGTAAATTCACAAGCCATGTTGTTGAATACCTATGACTATTATTAATACCCTAAATTTATGTAGTCCTTTATATTTCCCACAGCAGTTGAAATTTATCTAATCCCCTTAGATCCTCTTAACCAGCTAACCGTATTGCCCTGCTACACATGAAGAAACTGAAGGCTGGAAAGGTTAAGGGACAGCAAAGCTGATTCCAGTCCAGTGTACTTTTCACTCTGCACTTAGGTAACATATAGTGAGTTACTAATTTTCTTATTTTTTTTAGGATTTTATTTTTTAAAGTAATCTCTACACCCAACATGGGGCTTTAACCTCTAACCCAGAGATCAAGAGTCACGTGGTCTACTGGCAGAGCCAACCAGGCACTCCACCAATTTTCTTTTTTAAAAAAAATGAAATTGTCTGATTCTTTTGAGCAGTACATAATTATTCAGTATGTTTTCAAAGTAACGTCTCAATATTTGAAAAATAGTCTTGGAATATTTTTTTCCTAAGGAAATCCATACTCTTAAATAATTTCACATTTCAAAGATTTTCTTAGATGTTTCAGTATTGTAAATTTATGGGATTGTGGAAACAATAAGTATTGTATAAACACATTTTCCAGAAAGCTCATACCTCTTAATCTTGTTCCAAAAACTTGGATATCTCGCTCCCTGTGTTCCTCTACCCATCTTTCTAAGGAGAGATAGTACTGTGTATTAGAGTGGTTCAGTACTAGAACTTTGGTATCAGTCTGCCTGGGTCATTCACATATAGGCCTTTAACACTAATGGAGTGACCTTAGGAAAATCAACCTCTCACAGTCTTAGTTCATGTATAAGAGGAGCTAATAACTGTACCCTGTCCTGGGATTTGGCGATAAATGAAAGCACCCTGCCTAGTTACTGGCACATAGAAAGCATTCTATACGATGATCTTAAAATTTGTAGCCTAAACCAGGACGTTTTTGAGAGTAAAAGGGAGAGCTATTAATTATGACAGGACAACAGGCTTAAGTTGGGACAGTCCCTAGCAAACTAAATGTGGTCACACTGTCAAGAAATAGTCTGATATCGAAATGTTAATACTTAAATAGAAGAAATTATTAGGGGCGCCTGGGTGGCTTAGTTGGTTAAGCGTCCGACTTTCGCTTAGGTCATGATCTCGCAGTTTGTGGGTTCGAGCCCCGCGTCGGGCTCTGTGCTGACTGCCAGCTCGGAGCCTGGAGCCTGTTTCAGTCTGTGACTCCCTCTCTCTCTGACCCTCCCCTGCTCACACTGTCTCTCTCTCTGTCTCCTAGAAATAAATAAAACATTTAAAAAAAATATTTAAAAAAAAAAAAAAGAAATTATTAAAGACTCAAGGTCATTAATTTTGTAAGGTACCAGTAGTATGCTAAGATTCTCTTGAAGTATATGATTATTCTTGATCTCAGAAGTGGATTTTTTTATGTTCCCCCCCTTTTTTTTAGCTTTGCTTTTGACTGTCATGCTTGTAAACTCAGATACCGCATTTTGCTATTAACAGTATGCTTCACTTATAGTGCTGGTTACCATCTCATGTAGATTTGGAATGCCAATGTGTTTAGAATTGTGTATAATAAAGTGAATAGACTCATTGTGGGCTTGAGAGCAAAATGCCTGAGCTCATGAATCTTCTAACATTCCTTCTGGCTATATAAAAACTTTGGTGTACTTTCTGGGTTTTTGTTTCTTGGGGTTTTTTTTTTGTTTTGTTTTAATAAGTATGTAAGATAAGATAGCTGAGCTGTAGATAAAAGAGGCATCACTATATCTCGGTGAGGTGTCTAAAATGTAATTAATTTTTTTAAATGTTTTTTTATTTCTGAGAGAGAGAGAGGGAGACACAGAATCTGAAACAGGCTCCAGGTTCTGAGCTGTCAGCACAGAGCCCGACGCAGGGGCTCGAACTCACGGACCATGAGATCATGACCTGAGCCAGTCGGACACTTAACCGACTGAGCCACCCAGGTGCCCCTGTAATTAATATTTTTAAAAGTCCTATTTCTCTTTGAAAATACTTGTATCATTAAAGATACACAAATGAATTTGTTTCCATTAAGAAAAAAGGCTTATTCTTGACCTATTTTTTTAGTTTATTGAAACAATGGAATATGAGAACATGCATTTGATAAGCAAAATAATCTTTTTTTAATTTTTTTTCATTTTCATTAAAAATTTTTTCAATTTTTTTTTTAAATTTTTTTTTTAATGTTTTATTTATTTCTAGGAGAGAGAGAGAGACAGTGTGAGCAGGGGAGGGTCAGATAGAGAGGGAGTGACAGACTGAAACAGGCTCCAG